GTAATGATTGGGCAGTTCACAAGAACATGTGCAACATGAGCATGGAAGATAGAGGACAAGCACTAAAGATAACAAAAAATGGAGGATTGATCAACTGGGATCCTGAAAAGACATTCGCTGCAGAAGGAAGTGGAGAAGAATCCAAGAATCCAAACTTCGCTGAGCCGCAACTCAAGCGCTGGAGAGCCTTTACGGACGAATCGGTAAATACCGATGAATGATATGGGCAAAGCTGGATTGTACAAGAACATCTTTCGTTCTAAAGTGCATTGAACCTTCAAGTGGCTGCTTAGACTACTGGATAAGACCTGGCCATGCAAGTGGGGGCTAGAGAAATTTAACAACAAAGCGCTGTGTGGAAATACGCAGCATGGTTTAGCACCCAGAACTTATGGATAAGTGCTCAATTACCAATTAGGCTGTAAACCAATTTCGGAGCCCCTACGAGCTGTTTTGGGTTAGATACCACAAGTACAAAGGTCATAAGTCCAGCTTATTGTGTGTTAACCATACTGCCCAGTAGTCCTTGGTCTGTTATACTGTCCCGCAATATAGAACATCAATTCCTGACATATACAAGTTTTCTTTTGGAAAAGCAGCTGTAGATTGAGGACACGGGTATCTTTGTACACCTACCATCAAATTAGCGTTATAGGCCTCCAAGGTCAAACACTATCAGGATAAATCAAGACTATTGTTGATTGTCAAACGTGAAATCAGATTGATTTAAGTGTCGAGTCGTCGAAATTGAATTGCGAATCAAGATGGCGGCCGAAATGCAGCGCCATCTACGCGCTAGCTTTCAAGCTTTGCATCTGGAGGATGTGCCATGTAACGTATTGAAGGCATGCGTGCAGGGTGTAGATGGCCCATAAAACAACAAATCAGCTTGTCCATGTGTAGATGTGGCCGCGGATCGGTGATATGCTAATTAAAGGATGCCGAAGAGTTGTAATTTAGATTGTTATATTTGGGTATCCATATATCGACATCGTTGTCTTATCTCTTTGGTTCAGGGCCATCCCTGTTTCCATTGACACCTAAACTCCAAGCTGTTTACAAAAATATCCACGGCTATATGACAGAGTGACGCCAGTGACCTTGGACAGCTAACAAGATCCGGCTCATGCATCTTCCATTACCCTTATCCCGTTCACAGTTGACCTACCCTAAAGGAAGTAATCCGCAACCGGCTTCTTCGCAGGCATTCCCCTCGAATCCTGCGGTGCCGCTTCGAAGACCCTATATCGTCGTCCTGGGCCGTCTCTGTTCTTTTGCAAGCTGTCTCCAAGAACGGAGCTCAATCGTCGTTCTCCATTTGGCCCAGCATTTGAGCCCAAGACCCAGCCTCCACCGCCACCACCTCTATCTCCGTTTGTTCTCCGCTGAAAGCCTGCGTTTGATCCGTCTTCGCCGAGCTCAAGGATCGCGGCTACATTGCCGCAGCGGTAACAGTAGTTTGGTGCTGACCAGACTGTAACAATGGTTGAGTCGAACATCTCCTTGAATCCTTCCATTACCAGTTGATGTGCTCGAGCAATGAGGCTGAGATCATTCTTGTGGTTGAATGTCTTGACGATATCTGCGCCAAACAAGAATCCAGCACCACGTGGAGAAAGGCCCCAACCATCGATTTCGTCTGGGTCTGACCACAGCAGATCGCACATAGCTCCTTCATGTGGCACTTCTTGTTTCCGATCCAGTAGTCGAATCTTGTCCACAGAATCGACCAGAGGCGATAGGCCGCCGTGCACGCAGAGAATCGCTCCGGTATCATTCCTACTTGATCCATTGGCAGAAGATGTAGCGCCTGTGCCAGCAGGGCCCACTCGTCCTGGTGTGGGAGCGACTGGTGACGATGAGCCCATGTTGGCGCTAGCCTGCGAGGCAACGCTTGATTGAGAATCCGAGTTACGCGCATAACGATACATGATCTCACCGTTAGCATTGAGCGTCTCTATTTCTATATCCTGGTCGATGTCTGGCATACTGTCCATATTGCTGCTCTCTGCAATAGGGCCGTCTGTGGGCTGGAGGGATGTAGCGGCGCCTTGCACCAAAGCACCAAGCGCTAGATAATCAAAGACCTCGCAGCAGTATCTGCTGGAATTAGCAAGCTGACCTATGGCTGAAGTTGGCCTGTCTTACCTCCATACATTTGCGCTGCCATACTTGCGCAAGCATTCATCATAGAATCCGTATACAGTCGTAATTTGCCGTGATTCGTGATTGCCTCGAATGAGCGTTATTCGGTCTGGGTATCGAACTTTGAGGCACAGAAGCAGGAGGAATGATTCGAGAGAGTAGAAGCCGCGGTCAACGAAATCGCCTGTAGCATGTTCAGCAAACGTAATCTTTTTGGTCGGCATTTGAATGATGTCGTACCCATGAAGAGGTAGTTTGTGTCTGGCACATCTCCACCAACGCGGAACAGCTCCATGAGGTCATGGAATTGGCCATGAATGTCACCGCATATCTGTCGTCACAACGGAATCAGCCTTGTTCAGCGCTGATAGACCATGAAGACGTACCGTCACGGGCGCATCGACTCCAACCACATTGCCCTCTTCAATCAGCAGCTCGCGTGCCTTGTAACATAGCTCTCGGACCTGGTTCTCGGGTATTGGGCGGCATGCACGGAGTTGCTGGATGGCTCTGCCATGAGTGTCAATACAATGGTTTTGTGCGCGCGTGCTGGCAGCCTGGGTGCATGCTCACTTATCGAGGTCGCTACCACCAGCACTCATGGCTACGGACTGGCGCGCTGATTCGGCCCGCGCAGAGGCTGTCTGGGCTGGCGAAGGTCGTGGAGCTGTGACTCAATGCGCCGTTGCTCTCTGCCGTGCACAGCTGGGGGTTATGGAAAAAGTGACAGAGGCGGGCAGTATTGTCGGTGGCGGCACGCGTAGCAGCGTGTGGGTAGCGGGCAAGGCACAAGGTCCAAGATGGTCTCACTTCTCATGCAATGGGTCTGCGTGAAGATTGGCCGGACGGGACCAGAAACGGCACTCTATTGGGGTTGTGGTGGGAGCTGGGGAATTGCCATGTCAAGGCCAAAGGTCGAGAGCGGGATGCCCATGTGCAGGGATCATCGCCTGGCTGGCTAGTCTGCGGCGGCCAATCTTCACTCCACCAAAAGTCAATCGTCCACCTCCAACCCCGCGCCCCGCGCCCTCTCGCCATCTTTACGCATTCGAGGCATCTCAATTGGCTTGGTACGTCCCTTGGCAGCATTCATCCAAGCTTCAAACAGCTATTGACGCCTCAGCAGCACCCAGTGATGCCTCCGTAAAGCCCTTCCTAGCTCCCCAAACCGCGACACAAACCACACAATGCCTCCACACCTCCACCCACGGTCGCGCATGACCACGTCGCTCTTCACCACCACACTCATGGTGTCGTTCCTCGTCGTCGCTGCGCCACATCTCATACCCTGTCCAGTCGACCCTCGCACGCTTGCCGACTCTGCAGATCCCACAGGAGAGAACCGGAGACGGCGGAGACGGAGACTGCCAGAGGGGGAGACTTGCAATGATGTTTTGAGCGAGCAGAGGATGATGAGGAAGCAGCTTGAGGAGAAGCTGGCACCAAAGAGGGAGTGCCCAGTCCCAAAGCCGGGTGGGCTGATTGGGCAGGTGCTTGGCGTCAAGGAGAACGAGAGAGAGGAGATTGAGGAAGAGCCATTGTCAATTCTGAGGAGGGTCGAGAGAGCCATATGCAAACCCCAGCCAAAGACAAGGGGTGATGATCAATAACATGATGCAGCGCGAAAGACGCGTCGGAAAGCTGGATATCAGCGAATGAAATATTCAGGCGGCGTGTTGATGAATGCACGCTGAGCCGTGAAGGAACGATATCAGATGTAACATATGTACATATCTCACCGAATACGGGAATGGATACATCGGCATGTACACAAGAGCATAATCGACCGTCCATGACTACCAAATATCTCTATCAACTCCTCTCGGTACGGTTACGTCCGTACATTACTCACCGTTTATGACCACACGCATCACTTGCGTAAAAGTATCACTTGTTAAGAATATTCACTCGTTATAATTCTTGCTTGAACCACAACCTTGAGATGTACAAACTCTTGCCAAGCCAAGCCCAATCGTGTTCCAAGCACATCCAGTACTCTACATATCACATGAAACAGAATATTGGGAAGTATATGATCTATAACAATTGTTTTCCATGTGCATATCAGGTACAAGACAATGCTGTTGAAGAAACGTGATCACGCGTCGCGTTTAATAATGCACTACGTCATCTTGAACCTACACCAACACCAACACCACTTCGAGTATCTTATATCCTTGAAATAACCAAACATTCCATCCTATCCATACCAGTGCAAATAAGAAACAGCAAGATGCCACCAGAATCGCTCACTAAAGCCCAGCGAATGAGCTACCGCATCGGCCGTGGCGAACAAGGCGTCTTAACATTCGAGCCCTATAAATCCGAAATCCTTCCCTTCTGGCGATTCAAAACACCAGCCATCGCACAAAAGAGCTCTGAAAAAATCTACTCCAAATTCTTAGAATACGACAAAGACGATGATTTCATCGGTATGGACATGAGCCGTAAGTTTCTGCAAATGGGCATGACTAGAGCAAAGAGATACGCAAATCATGCCGGTGGAAGGAAGTATGACAAGAAGACTGGAGAGCAGTTAGAAAAGAGTAAAGGCCACGAGGGTATGGAAGAGAAACTGGAGGCTAGCCTTATTTTCCGGAAACTGTGGGAGAAGGCGAAATTGCATGAGGGTTATCATGAGAAGAAGGAGAGATTTATGACTGAGCAGAAAGAGTGGGATAAGGCAAGAAAGAAGGAGACCGCTACCTCTGATAAGTATCAGAAAGTTCAAGGTTGAAGAGGACAACAGAGTAAGAGGTGGAAGGTTCTGCTACAATTCATCTATCAACCCCCTATCTCTAATGGACCAGCGCTACTGCAAACGGTACAGCGGCGCAAAAACAAAGAGGAAGAAGTGAGTTCTCCACAAATCGAACGTGGGTCTCTCGCATGAACTGCAGGGCAACAGGGAGCCCTGCCGACATTGCCAGCCCGAAGGACAACAGATGACGGCTTTGTAGATTCTGATGCGAGCGTCTTACCACTGGACCAAGAGCCCTTCGTGTTTCTCCGATGAGGTAGATTGCCATAGATCTAGTTGTAAATGCTGAGAAAAACGAAGCGAAGCAACAGAAGACACAGGCAGCAACGACAAACCCTTTCGTTCGTCAGTGCCAGTGTTTGCCCTCCATCTCACTGAGATTTCGGGATCGATGACAAGCAAGGATGAAAAACTGAAATCATGTATGAACAAATCAAGCTGCGATTCTGGATTGCTTCAGAACTCTGAAATTAGAAAGAGAGGCCATTACGTTATTCTGCAGTCTGACTATATTCTATCATAATTTCATACCATTGGTCCCATACATGAGCACTATGATAAGCGCCAATATGTAGGGGCGGGAAGCAGGAATAGGCAGTAGCGAGTGACAGTAACTATAATGTCTGAAGATAGGGCATATGGTGAATGAATGAAGACAGACAGCAAGACAAATCCAGGATCGAAGGTTGAGAAACTATCAGGAGACAATATGAATACCGCACGTACCACAGTCATGAGGGATATTCTGTGTTTATTTTGGTACAATTGTAGACTCGAGTTGATAGCTCAGGTATGCTGGAAATAAACATATCCAATGTAGAAAAGGCCTTCTCGCCCTGGTTTGTCCTTTAGTCGGCAGAACGCAACTTCCTCTGTAAGGCACAAATGTGGTAGACAGTCACCAGACACTTGAGGGGCTGTGCAGGCTTGTCTTTGTGTATGAGTGAGCGAAGCAAACATTCTGCAATGCATTTCAAACGATGCGTGAATTGTGTCGTTCATCCTGTGCATGCGCTGCTTGGACACAGACAGGGTGGCTAGATGTGCAGTATGTAATTTGATTCAACGCATCTTAAGCTAGTGTCGGGGTCCGGGTACACAATGAGATCGCTAGAACGGGAGTGACGCCAAGTATAGCATCGTTGCCGTCTTGCCGCGAATGGTTGTGGGGTTTCGACATGGCCGTCCGGAAATTATGAGATTGTTAGGAAACAGTGCTACTGGGGCAGCTAAGATGTCGTGACGCATAGAGCCGTGCATGTGATGCGTTGATGGCACGTTCTTGATGTCGAGAGGCTCCTTTAGACGCTGATCTCGCTCTGGAGGCTGCAATGTAACTCGAGTGACAGCCAGGCTGGGAGCGAATGGGATGATGCAATGTCCTTTTTGATGATGTCGCAATGGATCGACACCATCGAAGTGGTGTGCAGGTGGTCGCTCCATCGGGCTCTAGCAGCTTCATTCACCAGAACAAGGAGTGGCTCTTTAAAGCAGCACCAAAACGCCCAAAAGCACTGACACATACTTTAACAAAAGTCTGGAAGATTAAATCTCTCTGCACCGACTCAGTGGCCAGTGAACATGTTCGTCAGGTTGGCGAATACGTGGGGACCAGGGTAGACGAAGCTGATTGGACAAGGTTATGATATTTAAGATTTTTAGCTTGGTAGGAGAAATTGGACCCTGGGATTTCATCACATGAGAAATTGGCGACTGGGCCCATGTCTTGGCTAGAAAGAGAAGGTGCATTCGAGGGTAAATGTCACTTTGGCCGTCAGGGACATCTCTTGGAGATCGTTCGTCTTTTGTTGAGGTGATGATAAGCTACAATACGACAAGGGGCCAATCTCCCACTTGTGGCGTTGGCCCCCCGATCCTGGTAACGTGACGATCACTATCTGCGACATCTTTTAGCAGCCGCGATGATCAATGTACCTGAAACATTAGTATACTGGTAAAGTGTGGCTGCATAGTGCTGGAAGACACGAAGAAGAATCAAGCGGGGCCCGGGCTGCTGAGTAGTTCCGACACAGCCAAAAAGCGGTAATTTGGTACGCGTTGCGGTGGCATGCTGCCGACAGAGATGAATGTGCTAGGGGCTTTGGTTCGATTGCCCACCTTCAGCAGAGGATCCCCGCGTCGCTCCGTACGGATCCTAAACCCCTGCATGCTTCCTCCAAGCCTTTTCTTGACCAGTGCTTATTATGAATGATCCTTCAGCTTCCCCTCGATGTCTTCCAAGTCTTCGGCGCTATCAATCTCGATGATCCTATTGACCTCGCTTGTATTTCGCATGAGCTCCTTTGCGCCGGCGTACAGCATCTTCACCTCACTATTACATGTTATGGGAAGGTAGTATAGCATGACGTACGGCACTGATAATCGACCAGAGTCCTACATCCCGTCAGCCACTGCCCCGTTGTGTCTGCACATGACGTTTTCAAGTGTGCCAAAGGGAGCTCACCAATGTCAATGGGTAACTCAGCAAGACGAATCGCGGCGCATGGTCGGGTAGCTCGTCGGCGAGGCTTTGGACGTCCGAATATACATCGTCGTCTACGGGGCGGATCTCCAGCGTCTTCTTATCGATCTCGTCTGCCGTGTCATGGCATCAGCCTCGTTTGCACGCGTACCAAATAGCCAGCCGAGCGTGTTCTGGGTAGGGGGCGTAGGGGCAGTGATAGAGGGGATCACGAATGCATACAAATGACGGCCTGTGGGTCTTTGGCTCGGGAGGTGCCCAGGCGGAACTTGCGTAGCTTTGTCTTTGTCTCGTCGGAGAAGGTGTATAGCCGCGCCTCAGAAGACTAGTCCGTGTCATCGTTAGCCCATCCTCTCCTCAGTCTGCTGTGTGTAGCGATGGCCGGAACTTGCCATATTGGTTGGCGATCGCAAGGTTCACGGCGGCGTTTCACGAAAGCTGTGGTGTTGTAGGGCTGAGGGGAGGTTGATGGCGCGAGGCATGCTTAGCGGGGGGGGGGGGGGGGTTGGCGGGGACATTTTACCATGGGCGCTAGTGTGGCCGCTCGACCACTCGTCATGTCCATTTGCCCTCTCCTTTCTAGAAACCTTCCTTTTTCACATGCGTCTGGCTGCCCGGTGACATTGCGTACCATTATCTGTGGCAATCAATGTTTGCAAGGCTCAATCAAGTTGCCAGGCATCTTGCACGCCCCCTACCGAATTTTGCGCACAACTCCGCGTCCAGGTTCCACCCATCGATAACGTCATCAGCCATGGCAGGCATGGCTTCGACACAGCAAAAGGGACTGATTCACACGGCGGCATGCTTGATTATCGGAGACGAGGTCTTGGGAGGCAAGGTATGCACGAGAATTACTCATGTTGGGAGTTGGTTCGCAGTCGATGATTGCTGACATGAAACTAAGACAGTCGACACAAACTCGGCAAGTTACACGGCACCAAGACAAATGCCTCGCAGCTAATGTTTCACAGGCATACTTTGCTAAATTCTGCTTCTCACTGGGCATAAACCTGCGTCGAATAGAAGTGATTGCCGACGATGAGGGCGAGATTGTTGAAGCAGTCCGACGCATGTCCAAAAACTACGATCTGGTGCTGACATCAGGAGGAATCGGTCCTACGTGAGCTGAGCGCCCCCTTTCGCTACACAAATAGCCACTGACATGTGTGGTGTCCTAGTCACGACGACATCACGTACCAGTCAATAGCCAAGGCATTTGGCCTGCAATTGAAGCTGCACGACGTAGCTTATGAGCGCATGAAGCGACTTTCAAAGCCGCACAAGTCGCAGCCAAACTTTGACTGGAATGTCGAGTCTGCAGCACTCACGGCCAAGAAGCGCATGGTCGAGCTGCCAATCGACGACTCGATCGCTGATGAGGACCAAGTGATTTTTGTCAGTGAGGCGCTCTGGGTTCCTGTGAGCTGTGTGAATGGAAATGTGCACATTCTCCCAGGAGTGCCTCGGCTCTTTGAAGCCATGCTGGACGGACTGAAGCCCCGGCTTTTGCCACGGTTGACGGATCCAGAGGGCAAAGGGGTGCTGCGAATCCTCATTTCAACCCCGCTGGCCGAGAGCGCCGTGGCGGGCTACCTGACAGAGCTTGCAGCCAAAGCAGAGCCAAAGGGTGTCAAGGTGGGCAGCTACCCAAGGTGGGGGAAGGATCACAACACGGTGACGCTGGTTGGGCGCGATGGCGAGTTCATGGAGAGCCTGGTGCCTGAGGTTGAAGCGGCGGTTCAGGGGCGGCGCGTAGCTGTCGAAGGGGAAGACGACGGAGAGACGTCTGACAAGGACTCGTAGCTAGCGAGCTGAGAGGGGCTGGGAGAGGGATTTATTATTTGTCTCGCATGGCGTGTGCTGTATATATTGAGCGCATTCGCAGGCGCGATGCAGGAGAAGACATGTCGTCAGATTAGAACAAGGAGCGGATGCTGTTGGAAGCTATAATAAGGCGTCGGCCATGCTGCCATGCTTCTAGGGTGCTTCTCGAAAGCGTGCCGTGTCCCACAAGCCTAATCCTCGTAGGGTAAAATGGGGGCCTTTTCCAAAAAGGATGATTGCTGGAGGAATGGTGGGTGAGATGAGCAGGAGGGGGTTTTTGCTTTTTTTTTTTCTTCTTCCTCACTTCTTGTGTCCTTTTGGGCTAGCATTTGGTTCAATTGCACTCTGTACGAGTAGGTATTCGTCCGCCCGTATCTCGTAGGCGACGCAGGCGACGTATGGGACAGTTGGGTGCGTCTTGTGGCATCCAATACTGGGGCGTTGGTGTATGTGCCTGGCTGGGCTGGCGGCCTGGCTTGCTTGCGAACCCGCCCAACCCCGCCTATGTGATGAGGAGCATAAGAGTGCGTGGGGCTTCCACCTGGGTACGTCTTTGGCGCCAGTGCCACTCATGTGAATACCGTCACACACACACACACTCACACACTCACACACTCACACACACATGTACGGGTATACAGATGGATATTTATAGCCGCATACACGCAGCCGTCGACGCGAGCAGCAGGCCAACACGCCAACGCGAGCGCGAGCGTGACACGGTCTGCGTGTGTGTGGTTTTTGGCAGGGCGGGCGTGCCCTTTGACGGCATCGGCCAGCGTAGTTCTGCGGTGAACGCTGCAGCATGCACTCCGTGCCACATGGGAGCGGGCGCTGGGATCGCACGAGAGCGTCCGAGAGTGGCCGCCCATGCGGATTGCAGTATACCCAGGCCCCGCCGCTTTAACCGCCCCAGCACACGAGGGGC